ACTCGACTATACACCACTACTCCCCTTTTTGCCACAATTTGGAAAAACTTCTAGTCATCACAATTAGCATAATCAATTAACACAATCAATCAAGAGTAGACAAGCATCAACAATCATGAGGACAAATGTTAAACATAATTCTATAACATCTGGACTTTGTTATTGGCAGCAAAACTATAAAGTTATCAAGCCATTACATATCCAGAACAAGGAAACAAAACATGCCCAAATACAAGGGCCAAACAAACTAAGCAAAAACACCTAGAATCAACACCCTTCAGACTTGATCTCCAGACCATCCTCTTGAATCAATGAAGGTAACCCATTCTTCATCAGAATTTGAGTCGGAGTAATTTTTTTGCATAAATCTTCTCTTTAAGGTATTCATCTTGGTCACAAACTTTTTCCTAGTCACATATGGTCCAACAGATGATCCATAATGTGTATCCATCTTTGTTTTAGACTTCCTTAATTTTATAGCCCTAGTATTCTTCCCAGACTTATGAGCTATGAGACTTGAGGCTGGTACTTTGGGTTTCCACACTTTCTTTGCTTGAACCTTCTTGTGTATCTTATTTTGAGTCTTGGTTGACTACAGTCTATAACAATAAGGCCTTATATGTCCATATCTTCCACAGTGATGATGTCTCCAATCAGAATTCTTGTAACTTCTGTGTTGAGGGGAGACATGTTGAACAAGTTGCTGAGACATGTGGTCCACCATTAGAAACTCAGTTTTCTTCTTAGGAGTAACAAACTTCTTATATGGGGTTTTGGTTTTCTATTTCATGAAGTTGGAATCAAATCCTATTCCCTTCACATCCTGAACATCTTGCCAACTTCCAAGATTTCATATAGTATATTTGAACCATTGTTCAGCATATGCATAAATTATGTCATATGTTCAAGCTTAGAATTTAACAAATTAACTTCCTCTTCCAGACATATGATGGTTGAGACAAGCTTCTATTTTTCCTTATGAAGCACACTTATGGTTTCCTTCTGTTGCTCAACAGTCATGCATGCTTCCTCCAACTTTGTGTAAAGAAGTCTATATGTTGAAGCTAACTATTATTCAATCATGTCTTCATCACTAGAGCCACCTTAAGGCTCATACTTTCCAATTAAATCCATCATTATATTAGATGTTTATCATTCACTTTCATCATTAAAATCAAGCCAAGTGATTGACAATCCATTTTTCGTTTCTTTAAAAAATTAGAGCATCCATCTTTGATGTGACCAAACCCTTCATATTCATGACATTAAACTCCTTTGCCTTTGTTCGGTTAGTCTTCATCTTTGATCTTGTTCTGAGGGCTGATGTCAGACACCTTATCCTGAACATTTGTCCTTCATCTTCTGTCTAGACTTCTCAAATCTTTGTTTAAATTTATTCCAATAAAAGCTATAACATCTGATAGACTTTCTTCAATATCCTTCTCATCTTGTCTTGATTTTACATGGTGTTGGATACAAAGCTCACTTTTGTTCAATTTTTCTAATCTTCCATTTATAGCCACTTCAAAGGTTAAAGATAGCCAATGAGTTCACCATCCTTAAATGTGCTTAAATTTTGACCTTGTTTAATAAATGTTACCTTAATGTCAAAAATTTTAAGAAAAGATATGGGGATTTTTCTGACCAACTTCTCTTTTGACATCTTTTCTCCAAATGTAAAAAAATTGTTGGCTATATCACGAAGACAAATGTTGAAATCAAATATGAGTTCATCTTCCATCATTCTCATATTTTCAAACTTGGTTGTGAGGAGTTATAACCTTGATATACACACTTTGGATGTGCCTTCATGATAAGTCTTGAGAACCTCCAAAACCTCTTTAACTTCATTGCATGTGTTGATTTGTCTGAACAAGTTCTAGTCAACACCATTAAATATAACATTCAAGGCTTTGTTGTTTCCAAGAGCTTAATCATCTTCATACTTGACCAATTAGCTTCAAGCTTTAATCTTGTTGTACCATCTTGAGAAGTGATCAATGTGGTTTCTAACCTTTAACCACAACCTTTCAAGTTTTGTTGTCTATAGATTAAAGAAAGGCAACCATCTTAGCTTTCCAATAATTATAGTTGGTGCCATCCAAAATAGGTGGTCTATTGGCTGACCCTCCATCCTTAGTGTTGTCCATTTGAACATAAAATATATTCCCTAGAGCTCACCAAAACAGAACAGAGTGTCTACTATAATGTCAATTGAAATTTGGTTCCTCAAAAAATAGATGTCAGACACGATGTCTGAGATAATGTGTGCAACCAAATTATGATAGTTTAACTTATACAAGATGATGAAATAGAAAATCAATAAAGAACACAGTAATTTTTAACCCAATTCAATTCAAACCACACCTACATCTAGGGGGCATCCAAACCAAGAAAAGAAATTCACTCTTTAATAGAATTAGCACAAAGTATCTTAGATGAACAAGCCCATTGTTTAATGCTCCTCTTCTTAATTTTAACCTAGTGTCTTTCTATTTAGGACTCCCCCTAAATATGAGAACTCCCTATCACTTTCTCTCAATCACTAACCCTAGTGATCAACATCAATAAATAGAAGGATGGATGTTGAATTACAACTCAACTAAACAAACCAACTACTATGTCTCATGATATGAATAGAGGCACTAGCATGGTGTACAAGAAAGTCAAACAAAAAAACTCAAATAAACCCTAGCACAAAGATATTCAATCCTAGCGCATACACTTTCAAATATGAGGAATGAGTCCTTAAATAGAAATTCCATTATGGGTTTTTCTCCTTTGGATGTCAGTTGTGATCTTGTCCATAATTATAGCATATTAAGTTGGATTTAATTAGTTCCACAAAAGATACCAACAAAAGATATGATTTGTTTTTAATTCAAACACAAATATAAATTTTCATTTAAATTGATTTGATCTTCAACCAAACAGATAGACAAATCACAATCACACATTGCTAAAAGATAACAATAATTTTGATGGAAATCCAATCAGAAAATTTGCTCCAAACTGCAATAAACTTGGCCTACTGTCATGAGACAAATGTTGAACACATTGTGTCCCACATGTGTCCTTTCTTCATCAAAATATCTTGTATAATTCATGTTATTTTGCATGTTACAGTCAATCTAAAAAGAACAACAATCTCTCCCTTTAATAAAGTTTGACAAAACAACTCTTTCATAACCTTACAAGTTATGCAAAGGGTAAAATCTTTGAGTTAGATAAAAATGAGGAGTTATTGTTTCAATTTTGAAATTTATGTACTTCGTCCAAAATGTATTAGTAAAAAATCGTGCAACTCGTCGCTTCAAGCAAATCCACTAGTTTACTGGTTTGACCCGTGAACTAACCGGGTCACACCAATTTGCATCGAGTTAATTGCACATCCAATCTTTTAAACTTTTTAATTTGTCTTACCCTCCAATTTGTTGGGGGGAGATACTATGAGCATTGATGCATAGTGTAGGAACAAGCGCCTTTTGAGAGAGACACACCACTTCTCCACCTAAAATCTTAAGGTGATAGGTGAGTGGATTCTCTCACTTATATATGCTTAAGTCTCCATATTTCTATTCAATGTGGGACTATTTCCCCACTTACTCACACTTGCTATATTATTCCAACACTCCCCCTCAACTGTGAGTCCACAATGCTCCCCCACTTGTACCGCACCACTTCTTGGGAGAATTTCGATACAAGTTCCTTCTGGTCCCTTTCTCGAACCAAAGGCTCTGATACCATGTTGGAGGGAGATACTAGGAACATTGATGTATAGTGTAGGAACAAACACCTTTTGAGAGAGACACACCACTTCTCCACCTAAAATCTTAAGGTGATAGGTGAGTGGGTTCTCCCACTTATATATGTTTAAGTCTCCACATTCCTATCCAATGTGAGACTATTTCTCCACTTGCTCACACTTGCTATATTATTCAAACACAATTTACGTTTTATCAATCTGACCGACCGAATCAATCCAGGGTTTAAAACTCTACTTCAAACACAATATACAATCATATCCATATCAAATATCTTTATAAATTTTTTTATCAAATTATGTCACTATTATTTACTAAATACTAGCACTTAGCTTTGATGAAGAATAACTCAAAATAAATAATTTAGTAGTTAAATATGAACTGCTTTCTTGTTTATAAAAAGAATATTTTGATTTACTGAAAAACTTATATAATTTCTCTTTTATCTTTGTTCTCATGTTTAAAAATCACTTGCTTTTCCTTTTTTCTTTATTCAATTTTCCCCCATCTTTTTCTTTATTCATTTTTTTTCTCTCTCCATCAAAAGTGACATAAAGAATATCAATCTTATTTAAAAAATTACCAATCTCAAATTTAACATTATCATTTCAGAAACAATTCCCATAATCAAAAAGAAAAACCAAATCTCTCTTTCCCTATTCAACTATCGTGTCAAGATTACATATTCTCAAGATTATTATATATAGTTCATCTTAATTTAACCATTATAATACAATTCCAGTAACCAAAGTTCGAATCTTTTCAGATAATAAAACAATTAACATCAGTAGTACCTCTTTCCTAAACGAGGTTGTCCATTCTTCTTTTTATTTTGATTTTAGCGAGGTTGTCCATTTATCTCTAAATACAAAACAAATCAAATTTAAAATCCATTATTCATCCACTCATTTTTATTTTTACAACGCATACAAAACAAAATAAAAATAATAATTTTAGTGGGTCCCACCATTCTCATATTTAGTATAACTGCAGAGAAGTACAATAACCATTTGTTTTTCTCGTTTGTTTTTGCCGTTGGACCCCACACAAACACACACCTCAACCTCGTTTCTGAGCTAGCCATGTAACCAAATCTGTTATTTTTTTATTTTATTTTATTTCTTTCAAAACTTTTTTTTTTCTTTCTATATAAAGCCTTCATTCATCACAAGAAATATCCTTGTCCTAAGTTCATAACTTCATATCTCTTCTTCTCTCTACTCTCTTTTTTCTAAGATGACTAAACAAAATAATGTAGTGGTCACACCTGAAGTTAAGTCATGTATTAACACGCTTATCTCCACCGTGGTTTTGCCTAGTGCCGCAACCGCGCCGGAATCTATGGCGGTGATTGGTGGTTTTTTGGGTTTCTCTAGTAATCATTTTATCAAGAGATTGGAAGGTAGTAATGTTAATGGTTGGATTGATTCAATGAGAGCTGCTTCTCCAACTCGTGTCAAATCTTCGGACAATTATCAAGAAAAATGTTCATGGATTGTAAGCATTTATATATATAAATTTTTTTGATAAAATTTAATAAATTCAATATTTATTATGTTGCTATTATTTTCGTCTTACTCTGTTGTTGTTGTTATTATGTTGTTGTTTACAGCTTTATCATCCTTCAGCGCTAAAATTATTTGATCAAATATTGTTTAGTTCTAAAGGAAAACAGATTGTGTTTTTTCTAGACTACGATGGAACTCTTTCTCCTATTGTTGCTGATCCAGATAAAGCTTTCATGACTAGAAAGGTTTTTTTTTTCTTCCTATGATTTATAAAGTGTATGCTTATGATATTTTTATTAATTTGGTTATTATTGTTTTTTAATGTTGCAAAAACAGATGAGAGGAACACTTAGGGATGTAGCAAAACATTTCCCTACAGCAATTGTGACCGGAAGGTGCAGAGACAAGGTACATTTTCTTCAAAAACTAAAAATAACACAATTTTTAATTAAATAATTAATTAAAATTCTCATCACAATGTTTGTTTCAGGTATTTAACTTCGTAAAATTAGCAGAGTTGTACTATGCAGCAAGCCATGGTATGGACATCATGGGACCAACAAAAAATCAAAGTGCTGAAAAAGTGAGATAATTAATTTTTGTCACTAGTTAATATTATCTTGAAGTTTTCTCTTAAGTTTTGTTCTTTCTAATTAGCTTTGTTCTTTTTTGCTTTGTTCCAGTGTATAAGTGATAGTAACAAACCAGTTTTGTTCCAACCTGCAAGTCAATTTTTACCGATGATCGACGAGGTTCGATTTTATTAGCATTTTTCAACACATAGGTTATTAACTAATAACTGTATTGTACTTTATCATATATATTATAATAATAAATAAAATTTCAGGTGTATAAAATTTTGTTAGAAAAAACAAAATCTGTCTCCGGAGCTATGGTAGAGAACAACAAATATTGCTTATCCGTGCACTTCCGTTGTGTCGACGAAAAGGTACTTAATTATAATTATAATTATATAAATAAGTACTAGAATTAATTACCAACTAAAGCAAATATTAATTGTTCATTAACACATACATTTGTTTTAGAGTTGGGCTCCTTTGGCTGAGAAAGTAAGATTGGTACTGAATGAATATCCAAAACTTAGGCTAACACAAGGAAGAAAAGTGTTGGAGATTCGTCCCACTATCAAATGGGACAAAGGAAAAGCTCTTGAGTTTTTGTTGGAATCTTTAGGTAAGTGTAGTACTAGTACTAGTTTAGTGAGTACACACTCATGCAAAATTATCATTGTTTTGACTAAAAATGTGTCCTAATTAATTTTAATTATATAGGATATGAGAATTCTAATGATGTGTTCCCAATCTACATCGGTGATGATCGAACCGATGAGGATGCTTTTAAGGTGAAACAATGCTGCCATTTTTAATTTTTAGTTTATAATTTTGCTACTAATTTAATTAAATAATATTATTAATTATGGATATTTATAAAAATTATCAGGTTTTGAGAAGAAGGGGTCAAGGGGTTGGGATTCTTGTTTCTAGTGTTCCAAAAGAAACAGATGCTTCCTACACACTGCAAGATCCATCAGAGGTAATATATATTCATCTAAAATATTTTTGTAATTTAGATGTATATTAATTTAAATATAAATGGTGAATATGAGATATGTATAAAAGATAGTAGTAGTAACTTTTTTGCAAATGAATATAGGTTGAGAATTTTTTGCGGCGATTGGTGGAATGGAAAAGATTGAACCCCACAAGTGCATAGAGTTGTAGATTAAGTTGTAGATGATGATGATTTGAAGGAATTGACACCACTTTAGCTCAAATGTGCTTAAAAGTTGTGGATCCAATTGTATCACTTTCTTTTTGGAAATGGAAAATGCCATTATTTTATCATTTCAACTCAATATAAGACAAGGGAATGATTATATTTGGTGTTCTAAAGTATTAGAAATGCATGATAACTAATTTAACCATTTGTTTTGTACAGTATACTTATGAAAATAAAGTTATCATAGAAAATTAAGTTGGTGCTTTAAAAAAAAGGAAAGTTAAGTTGGCAAAAGAATAGTATCATGGAAATATTTTCTTTTTTATAAAAAAATAAATTCGACAATATTCTTAATCGATACTTTTTTAGTAAGTAATAATTTCATTGATAAACCTCAAGATTGATTACAAAAAATATTTTAATCTGAAGCCAAGAACAACCCTCACCTCTTTATACAACACAAAGGCAAACAACTGTATCACTTTTTAATGGATATAAAATTAGGTTTTTTATTTAAATGTGGAAGAAGGACTTCTTATTTCATTTCACTTCATTTCATATATCAATTTTTACATGAAAAATCCTATTGTTTATGATAAAAAGCACGAAAAAATTTAAATTTTATGTATTTCTTACCGATTAAATATTTAAGCAATTTTTGTAAATATAAAAAAAAATTTCAATTAAAAAATATTCTAATTCTAGTCTTTTTAAATATATCAATTTAGAAAAAACATATATTTTATTTGTATTATTTTTAAATATATCAATTATTTACTTCTGATCCCTAATATTTTTTGTTGTAGTATTTGAAAAAATAAATCAAATTAAAGTTGTGATATATAAATATTTAATTTTACTTTGAAGGACAATAACAAAAATGAATATGACATAAATAAATTTTGATATAAATATAATTTGTAAGGACTAAAATATCAAAAAACAAAAAGGAAAAAGCAATATATTTGTAAAGGCTAAAAACAATAAAATAAAAAATTTTTACAAACATTAATTGAAACAAAAAATGGAAATTAGCAAGGACTAAAAGCATTTTTAAAAAGTTATGCGTAAATATTTGTTTAAACAAGATTTAAGATGATGACTTGTTTCAACTATTATATTTATAAATTATTTTTATGTATTTAATTACAATTTTCAAAGTAAATTAAAATTCTTTTTTAAATTATTTCATAAACTAAAAAAGAGATCAATAGTTATGATCCTTTTGTATGTTAGGTCAGAAAGGGGCGCTTTGAGGCGCTTTGCTAGCCCGCTTAAAGTTTAGTAGCAGTTTAGTTCATCCTTTTCTCATTTTGATGTTTCGAGGAATTCTCTATAAACTACTCGATCTGTTTTAAAATAATTTTTGTTTTGTATATAAATTAAAGAATGTAATAATATTGTCATAATATATTAGACTTTTACAAAATTAATCCTATTAATATATTTGAAGTAGTGTAGAGAGTAAAAAATAAAAAATACAATTGAAAAAATAGTAATCATTATTATATTAAAAAGTGAAAATGTCAATCATTTTGAAACAAAATTTATTTACTAAACGACTATCATCTTGAAACAGAGGGAAGAGTAGTTTAGTTCATCCTTTCTTCATTTTGATGTTCTGAGAAATCCTCTCTATAATACTCTGTCAGTTTCAAAATGACTTTCGTTTAAAGTTTTTGCATATAAATTAAGGAATATAATAATATTGTCATAAAACATTATACTTTTACAAAATTAACCCTATTAATATATTAGAAGTGGTGTAGAGAGCAAAAAATAAAGAACACGATTGAAAAAGTAGTAATCATTACTATATTGAAAAGTGAAAATGACAGTCATTTTAAAACAAAATTTATTTGTTAAACGACTGTCATTTTGAAACAGAGAGAGTAGTAGTTTAGTTCATCTTTTCCTCATTTTGATGTTTTGAGGAGTTTTCTCCATACTTGGCTTTATCGAGTGTTTTGAGTTTGAGTGTTTGGATGGTTGTGTTTTGGTGTTGGTTAGTGTCTGATTTGTTGGGAATTAAACCAAATCTATGGATAATTCCAAATTAATCTTGATGAATAAGATTAAATCACATCGATCGAATTTCTTCTTGTTCTTCACTCTTCACTCAAGTGAATCAATCAACCTTAGTTGCAAGATGATTTTGCGCAACAATTAACAATGGAGAAGAGAGAAAATATGAAATTAATAAGAAGGGGATTAGGGTTTGAACAAAATAGGGAAGAAGATGAATATTTCTGCAGAGTTTCTCTATGCTCACAAATTGTGAATATTATTTGCAACTAAAAGAAGTGATTACAATAATAGGGGTTAATCTCTTTATTTATAGTTGAGTTTGCTTGCTCCCTAAGCCAAAACCCAAAATACAAAATTCCAAAATACCTAATTAAGTTTAAGTCAAAATCCTCTGTTGAGGCACACTACTTCGAAACTTCGACTGCTCATTTCAACACACACGCAATAATTTTGACATACACCATAGTTTCGACACAAAGGATTACATTCTTAACACGCCACCTAATTCATTGTGTCTAAACTATCTACATTCATCATTACTCTTAGTCTTCGGAACACTTCGACTTGTACACCATTCACAATGATATTTGCAATCTGATTCTCAACCCTGCAGTGTTCCAATTTCAACTTCCCATTTTCTACCTGCTCTCAAAGATAATGGAACCTCATTTTGATATGCTTGCTTCGTCTATGTGATATCGGATTCTTTGCCAGATTAATAGCTGGCATGCTCTCAGTCTTTATGGCAATTGTTCCATGATTTTCTGCTATAATCTCTTCGACTAAGTTCACCATCCATGTTGCTTGACATGCACAAAGAGAAGTGGCTATGTACTCTGCTTCACACGATGATAGTGCCACTACTCATTCTTTTCTCGAATTCTAAGCAACTAATGCACCACCTAGCATAAATACATAACCAATTGTGGATTTTAGATCATCAGCATCACTACACCAATTTAAGTCGGTGTAACCCACTAAATTGAAATCTTTTCCTTCATCATATGCATGAAACAAAATTCCATAGTCGAGAGTTCCTTTGAGATACCTCAATATCATTTTCATCGATGCTTGGTGTGATACCTTTGGCTTCTACACAAATATACTCACGGTACCTACACTGTATGCTAGATCAAGCCTTGTGTGAAAAAGGTACCTTAATGATCCAATAAGTCTTTTGCATTGTGTTAGGTCGACATCATCTTCATCTGAGTATTTTGACAGTTGTAGTCTTGGTTCAATAGGTGTCAAAGTCGAGTTGCATTCTTCCATCCCAAATATCTTGAGTATTTCACTTGCATATCTTATTTGATGCATCATCAATCCTCTACTACTCTTTTAGAATTTGATACCAAGGAAGTATGAAATGTCGCCCAGATCAGACATTTCAAACTCCTTGCTAAGATCACCTTTGAAGTTTTTGATCTCTTTCTTGCAGTTACCTGTTATCAGCAAGTCATCGATATAGAGACATAATATCAATAATTCATTCTTGCTTCTTCTTACATATACTCCAACTCAGTTGTTTAAGTCCATACAATGCTTTATGCAGCCTGTAATCTTTTCTCCCTTCGCCTTGTTTCACAAACCAAACTGATTGTGCAACATAAACTTCTTCATCTAAGGGTTCATTTAGGAATTCACATTTCATATCCATTTGACATATGTGCCAATTGTTCATGTTCGCTAGGTCAACAACCAACTTGATTGTTTCGATCCTAGTAATAGGTGCAAAAACTTCATAGAAGAAATCCTTTTGCCACGAGTCTTGCCTTGTGTCGAGTTGTCTCTCCTTTGGGATTCAATTTGACCTCATATACCCATTTCACATCGATTGCCTTCTTGCCTTGAGGCAATTCGACAAGTGACCAAGTGTTGTTGACTTCGATGGACTTAAATTCCTCATTCATTGCTTTCATCCACCTCAAATCTTTCAATGCTTCATGTGCATTGGCTTGTTCGATATCTGCATAGAAAGCATGGTGTACTAACTCACCTTCATCATCGACCATGTCATCTGATGTAATCACACATTCCTGTAACCTTGCAGACATGCGTCTCGTTCTTTGAGGTCTATTTGGGGCTGCTTCACCTCTTACTTCTTCTTGTCGAACTTCACTTTCGACTTCAGTTGCTAGTTCTTCACATAAGATTTTCACTGAATATTTATTTACATTTTCAGTCTAATCCTATTCCTTAAGCTCATCTATGATCATGTCCCTGTTGATCACTAATTGTTTGTTCACTGGGTCGAATAACTTGTATCATCCAGTCGAATGATATCCTATTAGGATCATTTGATTCGACTTGTCAGCAAGTTTTCTTCTTAACTGATCTGGCACATGTCTATGTGTTATAGATCCAAATATCTTCAGATAACTCAAGCTAGGCTTGACACTGGACCAATATTCTCCTGGCATAATTCCTTCTAGATTCTTTGTCTGACATCTGTTCAAAATGTATGTTGCAGTCTGCTGAAGCGGTAAAGCGGCAAGCAAAAGTAAGTATTTTTTATAGGTTTTATCATATCGTCTCCATATAGATTAGTGCTACTGAATTTTCGTTCGACAATTTCTCGCGTTTATGAGTTTGGAGTTTAGAATGGGTTTGAAGTAAATGCGGTAATTGAAAGGTACGAACATAAAAAGAATTCTTTCTTATGAGAAGAGACTTATCAAGCATGCATATAATCCACTCCTCACAAACTTTCTTCTTTTTATTGCTTCAGTTTCTCTGAAGTTGGTTTAGTGTAAGTTTGGTTTAAATAAAAGCAAATTTAAAGGTGTAAAATTAATTTCAGAACGATTTTAAAATATTTAATTCTTTAAAATAGAATTGATTCAGTCTTCATAATTGATACTACTTGAAATTAAAATTGGTATTTTTCGAGTTTAAATATAGTTTTTATATTAAAATGTATTTTTCAACTCAATTTTACATAAAGATTCAAATATAAATCATTTTAC